CTAAAGCTTAGGCCATTGAAACTTCACAAAAGGCCACATGAACCAATCTGTGCTGAAAAAACATGAGGGGAACATTTTTCCGGAGGCTTTTGGGGAAAAAAAGTTTGGGAATGCCTGGGAGAGAATTCATTTTTTCCTACAAATGTTGGCTAGAGCCTATATTGGTTATAAATGCAAGGCCTGTACTGTCCCAACCATCTGGAAGAGCAGTTTCCAGCCCAAGAGTGAGGCCAACCTCCCTGAACCTGTGGAGCAGACCAGCCAGAGCACCTCCTGCTGACCTCTAGGCTATTGTAGTTATCTTGAGAGCATTTTGAGTTGGTTTGTCTGTTGTTTTGTTAGCCACCAATCAGTTCCTAACCTAGTGAGAAAAGCAAACGTACAAAGGCCTACAATACCTAACAGAGGCTTTCTCTCTAATACAATCAGGAGGATTAAAAGAGAACTAGAAAGTGATACTTTCATTGATTCAAAGTCATTTAATGCCCTGTCTATCTATAAAATAATTTTAAGGTCACGCATCCTTTACTTAGAAAATGTTTGCCTTAGTTTGGGAAGATGATGGCTTCATAAAAATAAACATTCAATAGGCTACGATGGGCTTAGGTTGCCTTCCTAATAATTTTTCTCAAAGAGAAATTCCAAAGTGCATATTGCTAGCATCACTGAACTCTCAGAAAGTTTTGAAAATGTAGGCTAGAGACAGAGGGAATAAATTGTCTGTGCCTCTGGCCTTAAGCATGGGGCTCTCTTAACATATTCTACATCCTTGAGATTCAAAGTATGACTAATGAGGTGGCAGCATCTATGGAGTCACCTGTGAGAAATGCAATCCTGTGCCCTACCCAGAACTACAGAATCAGAATCTGCACTTAACATGGTGCTCTCTGATTTGTAGGCACAATAAGTGTTGCGCAGACTACGTGTAGCCCATGTGTGCAAAATGTGAGCTCAGAGAAACTCACCTCAAACTGTGGAACTACTATATCCTCCCTGCCCCAGAGTGGACTGTCTGTTTTATTTCACTCTAATTGCCTTGACACTTGATAGGTCTTTTTCACAAAAGAGCCAGTTTCTGAGAATTCCTTAAAGTTTTACTCAATACTAGCATAACTTGGTCCATCGCTGACACTTTTCCTTGGAATTGTAAAAGTCATAGATTCCGGGCCAGATGAAAACATCACAATTTTACATTTGCTGTTAAAATTCCCATATCTTACAAATCAGTTCAACCCAAACAGAAATCCTTTTGTGTCACATATAACACAATCTTTCCAGAATTTTTGAAATCAGAGTTATGATGATTAGCAATTCCCCGAGGCCTTTTCTAATCAGTAAATTCTGATTTGTCCTGAAGGAACATTCAATCAAGAGCTCTCCTGACTCTATGAAAATCTGAAAATAATTTTTCTTTTCTTTTTTTTTTCAACATAGTTACAAGTCATGTGAACTAACATAACAACGGCCAGCTAAAGGCTGGTGAATTCAAGCAAAAATAAAAAAAGAGAAAAAGGAGGAGAAGGAGGAAAGAAGAAAGGAAGAAGAAAAGAGGGAAAGAAAAAGGAAATCATAGATCCTTCCTATTGGCGGGGTGGACCCTTTCTTTCTGTAAAATGGAATGGTGGTTTTGAAGATTCAATGTGAAAGAAGGCACTGATGTGATTCAAGGTGAGAGAAAGCACATTCCCGGCATGAAGTGGTGCTCAAAAAAGTGAATGCCCTGCAGTAAGGTGAGCAGGACATTTATGCCAGAAAGAGGAAGATGATGTCAAATTCGTTTGTTCACCAAAGTGACAGGAGAGAAAGAATTGGAGGGAAATGCTGATGGTGGTTAGGAAGGAGCCTAGGGCCCAGCCTCTAGGAAGAAGAGGCTTTGGGTCTGATACAACCTCAGGATAAAGTTTATGAGGAGAGAGAACAAAAGATTCAGTGTCTGTGAACGATAAAAGGGGGAGTCCTGGACAGGAAGAACTTCAGAATACAATGCCTGTCTGACAGTCTCTGCCAACCTGTGTCAAGTATGGAGTAAGATGGCCTCTTAAAGGAGGATCTTGTTGAGCAGAAATGGCAATGCCCAAGTATCCCCACAGTGCTCAGTCACTGGCTGTTCCCTCTGTGGGAAAAGTATGGCATCAGCTTAAAAGCTCAAGCATAAACGAGGGCAGAGGGCTAATGATGTTCTTGCATCTGAATGGCGAGTTACTCTCTTAAAGGAAGATCCATGTCACACACCTCCATGGCTGGCACAAACTGGGAGAATGAAAATTCCCTGATCAATTTAGGAGGACCCCAGATCAGGGGATACCGTGGCTTAGTCTCAGAGGAGAACCCTGGGAGATCCCCAGAACCATGGAAGAAGCCAGGCCTGTAACATGATACCTCAATATTGGAGGAACGCTGACTAGGGAGACGTTGAGGAAATAAATGTGCTGGTAGCTTCTCAGCATCCTGAGCATTTTCTGAGCTTGCCCAAAGGAGCTAGCAGCACTGGGGGAGGTGTCTGTATGATTGGAGAAGGCAGAATGTGTGCACAGGATTGCTCAAGGCTACAGGCAACAGATACTGCAGGGACAAAGGGATGCCCAAGAGCTGATGTGACCGGTTATACCTATCAGGAGATTTTCAAAGCTGGCAGGTAGCTCCGGACAAGATTTATACCTATGAGGGCTTCACCTGGGCTTAGAATACCGCTGTGGGAAAGCCACAGGGAGAAGCAGAATCCTAACTTGATGAAATAGTTACTAAGAATAGAATTTTAAGCCAGAGGGACTAATTTTTCTTGAAGTGATGAGATTATATTTTCCACAAATGAAGAGAAATAAGGAAATGGGAGCTAGTTAAGTTCGGTTAAAAAGAATAAATGCAGAAATCTTATTTCTGGATTACATAGCCTATTAAATTCCATCCCTGCTGCACACGAAAATGATATCCTTTGATATAATCACTTTACTTGTTAGAATCTAGCTTTTAAAGTGGAAAAAGACCATACAGAAAGATATTTTTCTGTATTATTTCTAATAATAAGGTAAAATAAATTCCTAGCAGCAGGGGGGAATTGGGTACATCCACTCGATGACTCATTAGATTACTAATCATGATATTTTCATTAATATGCAATAATGTCTAAGTATTTTTCTAATAAACTAATTAATGAAACAGGCAAAGAGAAATGTTAGATACAATGTTTCTCAAGCCTTTTGAGAAAGGCTCAACCCCATACTGAACTGTTCATTTTTGTATCTTGACTTAGACCCTGCTTGCATGAAACAATGCCTGCTTCCTCTGGGCCTCGTGCATTCTGGCATTTTTGTACGCTCTTCCATTGTGTCTTCCTCAGTGCTGGTGAGTTTCACTTCCTGGGTTCCCTCACTGCTACTGGGCCTCATGGACTGAGCACAATTTCTTTCTTTCTTTCTTTTCTTCTTCTCCCCTCTCCCCCCGGTATTGGGGATTGAACTTGGGACCGTGAGCTTGTGAGGCAGGCAGTGGCACCACTGAGCTAAATCCCTGGCCCATGAGCACAATTTCAATGATGAACAAATGACAAAAATGTGTGTTTAGAAAATGTGCTTGGAGAGGATATGCCAAAATAGCCACAGGGCAGGGACTCGAGGGGATTCATTCTTATTTTCCAAGTTTTCTCCAATAAAGATGTTACTTGTTACAATGGCTATAGTATTGCAATACTACTTTTTGAATTTTTCCCAAGGTGCCTTTTCACTCTTTTCTCTGAGTTCCTTTTTATCTGGCAAGTCCTCTTTACACCTCTCATAAATTCCTGAGCCCAAAGGTAAGGTTGCCAGCCAGGGCTGCAGGCAACTTCTGTGCCTGCGCTCCACGGAGCTCCTCAGATTTTATCACCTCAGGACTGGCAGAGCCCAAGGGCCACTGCTGAATTACGGATAGTTTCACGAGGAGACTGATAGCACATTTACCCATATCCTTTACTTCCTGCTTTTCCTCATCCTTTTCTAACACAATTTTATTTGAGTGCTTATTATGTTCCAAATACTGTTCTAAAAGCTAGATAAAAAGAGGTTTTTTTCCATGTTCTGTACTTTTTCAAATAAGTGTGTAGATCTCTCATAATCATAAAAAATACTTATTGTCTTAAAAGATAACCTTAAAATATGATGCTTGCCTTCAACATGCCCACCACCTAGGAAAGAAGCAGTCACCTAAATAAATGATATTGTGGAATTTACCTCTGTTCCCTGACCCACTAGCCAGAAAGTGACTCATCTGAGTGTTTTTTTATTCATAAGGGCCAAAGTTTTGACATCTCTCCACTTCCAGAGCACCGTGGAATTTGTCCGATTTCCTATTCTGTCCCCTTCCTATATTTCCATTTTCTAGAAGAGACAGATGAAAGAGGCAAAGAGGGCAGGAGGAACAGGGGGAAAGAGGAAAGGAGAGAGGGAGGTGATGCTTTGGCCAGCGCTGAATCAGGTCTGTGCTTGGGCATAAACAGCTGACTGTGACTACTGCCGGTAGCATCCTGATGCCTTTCTAAGTCCAAACAGTCTAACACAAGACTGCTTGGTCCACTACATTTTACTGCCCTGGTTTCTGAGATGAGTCAGTCATGGCCTGGCCTGTGACCTCCAGGAGGATAAGACAGCAGGCTTAATATTTGTCTGTTTTCTGTTAATGAGTAACATTCTGATGGCAGCTTCTTTGGTACATTAACTTCTGATTCTGTTCTGCTCATGTTGAAGGAATAGTCTATTTTCCAATCAGGGGTAGTTTGTCAAATTTTAATATAATGTTAGGGGCCAATACAATTAGTAAGAGGTATTTTAACTCAACAATCAGTCCCTTGACTTCTGGACATCTTGTCATTTGCTGAACTTAGAACTATGTCCCCTGAGCCTACTTCTTAAGAAATCCCCAGTCAGACTGAACTTCCCTGTCTGTCTTCACTTGGGCAGGTACCCACCTTACAGGGCCCTGTTCTGCTGAAATATGCTCTGTCCACACTAGGGCTAGTCAGGGTCTCCAGAGACTTCGTCACGTATTTGGAAGACATGATTCAGAGTTCTGAAAAACCTGGTAAAAACATTGCTCTCTTTTGCCTCTTTTATTTGCACCTCATGATAAATGTTCTTTTAGCAGCTTTATAAACAAACTGCTAAATGTCACCTTTATAGAAGTGTGACAGGCTTGTTTGTGGGAGAGGACTGATGGGAGTCAGATGGGACTGGTGTGAGAAGTAGCTGATCATTTGCCTACAAAGTTGACCCAGGCGGTAAAATTCTGAGGTGCCATCCTTTATGCAGCCAAAACAAAAAATGGTATTGCTGATCCTCTGGAAGTCAAACACAGGGATTCTGAGTGCATTTTAGACTTCATGAATGCTTCCTGGACCTATTTGAGAACAGTGTGAAAGACACACCACAGTACGTGAAGATGGTTTAGGATAGAAAAATCAGCTGATCTAGAGTGAAGTTACCCCACTTGTCTGCTGCTGGTGAAACCTCTATTAGGAGTAACAAGCTCCACCTTACTGAATTAAACAGATATGGCTAAAACTGGATATTTACCAAGCAGAGCAACCAGCTTGCCTAGAGGGAGAGGAAGAGGGAGAGGGAGAGAGGGGGAGGGA